CAATATCAGACCTTAATACTTGTAGCTACTGTAATTTTTTTTTTTAAATTATGCATAGTCTATAAATGCCTTATTTTATGCTCATTGAGTTTTTGGGAGTGTTCATTATTCATATATTTAAATTAAAATTATTGCTCGTCTCAAAAAAAAAAAATTTTTTTTTAAATATTCTGTTATTACATTTTGTTTTGTTATTACATATACTTTCATTTGTTAATTTTTTCAATATACATTTCTTCATTGTTAACAAGATATTTTTCAAAAAAGTACGAATTTCGTGTACTTGCAAATTTTGCCACGAGAAACTGCATTGATGGCGTTGGTATAGCTACTGACTTTGAAACAAAAATAACTACAAACAGTAGTTTCGTATACTAATGTGTTTGCGCACGATTAACATTGGTATTTATTGTGTTGATGAAGTTTCACAGTTGTGAGAAGTCAGTTTGTGTTATACACCTTTGTTAAACTAAATAACTAATAGAAAATATAATATTTCTTATATTTTATGAAATGAAATTTAAAAATATAGCTTAGATATCTATCAAGTTTGTGCATGCTCAGTGTGCATAAGAAAAGAATCAAAGATGACTCATTGAAAAAGTTATAAACTGATTTGGACAGCAAACAAGACGATTACAGTTCTTATTTGATTAAATAAAATTTTAATTGTTATGCATCAATAATTACTAAATTATTTGTTTTTCAATAAAAATATGTTTAATAGAAAAATTTATTACAAATTTATTTTTCTGTATCTCTTTAATTGTTTAAAAAAAGGCAGGGGGGTGCAAGTGCACCCCCTTGCACCCCGCTGCCGGCGCCCTTGGGTTATTGTTATCCCACAATAGCATTGTACAACCACTTTCCTTAACGATCACATTCCCCTTTAATTTAATTTAATTACCCTTTTATATATTTCGGCCTTAATTATATTTATCACGACGTTTCAATCATTTGACTGTTTTTTAATCATGACTATATCCAATTACTGGTACATATACCAAATATTTCAATCTATTAATTATAATTCACAAATAACTTATCTTATGCGCACCAAATTAATAAAATTTATTTAACTCTTACAGTTTGCACTTGTTTACATTCGTGTATCAATTGGTAAACATTGTAACGCAATACCTTAAAAATAAATACAAATAGGAAATATGTAAAAAATCTGAATAAAAACCCATTACATGTATGTTTAAATATTGCATATAGACGTATTGAAATTTAAGTATTGCATATAAACTCGTGCAAAACCATGTAATTATTAAAACACGTCTAATCATTACAATATAATACCTGATATAATAAATATTCTTCTAATTTATCCAATCTTCATATTTAAATTATATATTGTCTAATTTAAGCAACGAAAACACGAACGTGCAAACCGGTTTCAGTCGCGTCTAAACAATAAAGCTGTTACCAGATAATTAAGATTTTACATAGAATCTCGTGTCTAATATTCCAGCCAGGGACTGTATATGTACTTTATATGTACATAGGTCTACAAAAATGACAAATTTCACGGTTATGGAAAGTAGTGCTTTTGGCTCTTTATCTAAGTTATTGACCCTAAAAGCATGATTTTGGAATTTATGTTAATATTTTAGTCATCAATCTTTTTTGGTAATTCATGTTATATTTCCTCGCATCGAAACCAATGACGTTCAAGCAAAGCTGACTAAATTTTGTTTGTACCTAAAGTTCATTCTATCAAAATAAAGTCTCTCAAGTCTTTTAGGATAGTTTTTTTTATGTTGAGAACCTTTTTTTTTTCTTGTATGTTTTCACCGTAAAAATTTAAATTACGGCATTCAGGGATAGATATAAAAATGGAATAAAAATACGGCTCTTTTTTTCATTTAAAGCGAAGGGAGAAGAAATTTTAATGACATGATAAATTATGAGTGAAAAAAAGAAAAAAATGTAAGAAGCCGTAGACCAGGGGTGGTGAACCTTTATACACCACCGTGCCATTTTTTCTGAAAAATTGTTTAATGATGTCATAGACGTGCTGTCAAATAATTTTGACTTCGTGATTATTGGGAAAATAATAATACTAAATACTATCAACTCAAAACTATTTACATTGAAAAAAAAATACATTTTGCAATGTCTCAGTTATAGGCGTAATTCAACTTAAAGTAACATCAGTGTGACTTCTGTTGCTGCAGATTAGATGACAAATAACTTATATTAGGTTGTAAGATGTTAGTTTAAGCAAGACTGTTAATTTTTTTTGCTAGTTACTTATTGTTAACTTGTTTTTTATGGTTATTAATTGTTTTTTTAGCATTAATTGTTATTTTTTTATTAATAGTTGTTTATTATTTTGTTTGTTTTTGTGAATTTTAATTTAATTGTTACATATTCTTTATAATGTAATAACATTTGTGTAATAACAATTCATAGTGCAATAACAATTGCGATCGGTGGTGTGCCCAAAATATTGTGTCACGTGCCATAATTGGCACGCGTGCCACTGGTTCGCCATCCCTGCCGTAGACAGTTTAGTTTACTATATAGCGAAATCATTAAGTCAATACAGCTCGATATGAAGATTTTCAGTACAGGCATAGATCAGTAGTTTTCCAAACTTAACAAGTAAAGAGGAATTGAGACAAAAATTAGATCCTAATAATCGGTTTTTGGGTTGAAATTTAGATACGATACACGATATCAAAATCCTAAAAAAGAGCTGCACCCTAGGATTCTTCGGAGCACTAATTAGGAATCACTGCCCTAGACCAACGGTGCCCATATTTTTCTGGTTACGGAACCCTAAAAAAAAAAAACTTCTCTTATTACTGCCCCATCTTTAAAAAAAGTTCATTAACAGCTGAAAATATGGTAAAAAAGGAGAAAAACTTCAAATTTAATAGGAAATATTTAACGTGAAGAACAAAATTTATTCATTAATTCACCAATAAATCTAAAAATTGGGTTTTATATTTGATAGTTGAATTCATAAGTCTGTAGCGGCTTCTTGTCTAGTAATTTTTAGCATGTGTATAAGTCAAATTAATTTAACTAATTTGAAAAATGGTTTATAAAAAATAAATGTTTTAAACTGTTAGAATGCATTTTATGAATTTGGTTATTTTATTTTGAATTTCGATGAGAAATGCTAATGTATTATGCGTAAATAGAATACTCATGGAAATGTCTTTTTTCCCTCTTTCCAGGACTCTGCGGAACACCTTTTAGGAACGCTGCACTAAATATCGTCATTTGGGATCTTACTGCAACATTAGAATATCAAGAAATTGTCATTTTTAAGCCTCTCTTTAAGTGATACTACATGGTGAATATTATAGAATTAGCAAACCGACATACTTAAAATTTGACATTTCGTATCTTATATATATAAGGAAAAAGAAAAAAATAGTTTTTAATCCAGCCAATAAAGTGAAACAGGGAAAGAGATTTTTAATTGCAGTGATGGCAAAAACTGACAAATAATTAACTATGAATATAGCGTTTAATAAGTGTGAAACTTCCATAAGATATACTCGATATCATGTGAAAGTCGAAATGTCAATATGTCGTCCAGTTGATATGTTGTCCACCATTTTCTACCAGAAATTGAAACCGATAAACGGTTTAATAAGATTACATCTGAGTGACATTATGAATGTGTCATGCAATGCTTGTCTTAAAGTCTGTAATTCAGCTAACTTTTTTCATTAAACTACTGAACCCTACTATGAACTATTTCTTGAACTGTTCTGACAACTGTTTCGACGAACTGTTCTAGAATCCGTTGAAAAAAGGGTATGTTTATTCAAATAAAATACGCTTTTTGTTTCTGATTTTGTAACTTAAAATATTGTCTGCATTAATTAATTAGCATATTTGAGGTCACCCCCTCGAGCAATTAAGATTGAGTCCTAGAACGTGAAGAGCCAATCATTAGATCAACAGTTATTTCCGTTTTTTTTAATTTTGCGCACTGATTGTGCCTCTTGGCTAGGAGTTCGAGACGCTTGGAGTTCGATTCATGTAGTAGATCACTTTATTAAAAATGTTTGAAAATTTCTTATTTTACTTTATTATTTTATTTTATCTTATTTTATTTTATTTTTTGAAAAAAAAAATTGAAATGAAACTCTCTCTATAATATATATATTATACGAAAATATTGTCTGCGGTAGCCTACTGGTTAGAGCATCCGATGGGGCCGGGATTCGATCCTCAAAGCCACTAAGCCCCAATGAGTACGTACGGTATACGTGCTCGTAAAATCTGTGGAATTCTAAAGCCATGTGGTCGGCTAAATTGAAAAAGTGGCCTCACAAATGGGTGGTGCTGCCATCTATCCAGGGGTTCTGAGATACGTCGAAATTTCATTTAAGCGTTGCTCTCTTGTCTTGTTGCTTAAATGATTTAATTCACAAGGTCAATAGCATGTGAGCTTGGTTTGTTCGAATTCTATTAGAAACAACCGCAACATAAAAAAATTATGTTTAACTTCCAATTAACGCTTTCTTTTCGAGGCTGGTTTTAAAACCAATTTGTTCCTTTTTGTTCTTTTTTTATTTCTGATTAAGATATTCTAAAAATTAAATTTAAAGAAATGGTGCAGTGGCTTCCTTTATCATGCCTTAGGGAAGATTCTCCGAGCTAAAAGTAGTTTGTTTGATTGAATTGTACTATATCCCATAAGGAATCCACTCTAATGTAATGCTGGTTTTAAAGCTGAAAAAGTTTACACAAGATTGGGAGGTTGGTGAGCGTGGTGCGGAGGCCGGGTTATGACTATCATCCTGCGTCCTCCAATCTAATTTAGCTCAGATCATCATTAAAGTTGAATCCGTCGTGAATAACCTATTAGTGTAGATATAGTGTGATGTTAACAACCATACCAAAACTTAATTTCTTCTTTTTTTTATAGTTTTAGCTCAAATATAGTCATTTTTAATGAGTAGCGGAATTTTTTTTCATATTTCATTAAACAATTTTTTTTCGAAAAATGTATTTGTTTCAGTAAAAGCAATATGACAAAGAAATAGAAGTTTCGACTGAGTAATAGCCGATAGTAGAGTCGTATAACACGCAAAACACACCAATTTCAATTTAGTTTTCCAGCAAAACATCTTTTTTTAATTAAACCCATGGATTCCTCAGATATTATTCATCCGATATTCTCCCCTTTACGGGATTATTAGGGATTTATCAAAAATGTAGCAACAAATTTTCAGGGTACATCATAAACAATTGCATAGCAACCCTGAACGCCAGGGATATAAAAGGCAGAACAATCTGATAGGACACATGAGAATGATTAATTGAAAATAAATCTTTATTATATATCAATGAGTGTAAATGACCAACTAAATTAATACAGTTTACAGAGCCGTGGTCGCTCAGGGGATCGAGTGTTCGCCTTCCAATGAGGTGAACCGGGTTCAAATCCAAGCGATTACTGCTCGATTTGAATTCCGCACCCGGCTTTCACTGACCACAGTACTGACGTAAAATATCCTCAGTGGTAGACGGATCATGGGTTAGAGTCACCTTGCCGTCAGGATAACCGTGGGAGGTTTTCGTGGTTTTCCTCTTCATTAACGCAAATGCGGGCTAGTTCCATCAAAAATCCCTCCACGAAGGTAAATTTCTCCCAATACTTGATCCAGGAGTTCTCTTGTCTTCTTGATTGGGTTCAAAATTAAAAGGCTACGGAGTTGAACTATGGTAGTCGTAAACCCGAGAAATTGGGTTGGCTGTTCAACGACGGTTATAAAATTAAATGAAATACAGTTTATTAAATTAAAACAGATGCCCTAAGTTTTCCCCAGTGCCAACAGAAAATTAGTCCCATTCACATAAAAACCTTGTTTCAACGCTGTTTTAGAAATTGAGGGAGTTTTGGAGGTTTCTATTCGCGTTGATAAAATATCCATTTAGAGGACTCTTCTTACCATCTTATTCATGATTCCAGTGGCTGGCAGATGCATGGAATTAATTCGTCTGTTTATTGTTTCTTGGTCTAATTTTGGTTAATTATAGTTTATGTTCATTATTATTAAATGCTGTCTATTGATATTCTATTAATCGAAATTCTTTTAATAGTTTGTAAGAATCGTCAAATATGCAAATGTTAGAGCTTTTTAAATTGAAATATTAAAATTTGTTCCATAAGTACAGAAAGAAAAATAAACGTTAACAGAGAAAGTGCCAATTATTTTATTTATTACTAATGAGAATGACTATTTCTTTTCCCTCATTTGTACAAGATTGTTAATACTTATAACTCTATTTATTAATATTTTAGTTTTCTCTTCACCTTAGTTTGTTCCATTTCTGAAAAATATATCCCAAATTTTTAAGCAATTGAAACAAAGACAAGAACACTTCCAAACACAGTTTCAAAAGTAGGCGAGCAAGAGTTGAGAAGTTTCTCGAACCACGTGAAAGAATTGGGGAAAAGAATTCAGATTGTTGACTGAATGTAAACTATAATAAGCTTCTTAAAACCGAAAGAAATTTAGAAAACTTCCCTTATATTGTGCTTAGTTTATTATTGTGATTTTTGTTCAAATTTTACTATTTATAAAAGTTTTCGATTATTCACAAATTCTAACATGTGGTGAGCCGAAGAAAATTAATATCACAACATAAATAACTGTAAGATTTACATTGTTTTCTGTTTTATGTCTTATTTGCCTACATTTGTGTAAAATATTGCTGTTTGTTATTTTTGAGGTAACATCATAACATGCTTGTGGAGTCTTCAAAATTTATTTGTATTTTGCTTCTTAGTGTTAATGGTAAACATTACAAGTATAATAATATTGGATGACGTGCTTTCTCAAGCGTAAAAATCAATCGAAAGTAGTAACCTTACGAGGAATTTTAACCCCTAGCGCCATCTGTGCTTTAAGCAGTCAACCATCCATAATGCGCTAAGGCGACTTGTAATGCTTGTAATTGCTCTGGCAATTAAAGCCGATTTCAAGCAATGACGTTTGCGTAAGTAAGGAAAACCGGCTTGTGTGAATGAGGCAACACGCCACCTGGGGAGAAGACCAGTTCCATGTCTTCCCCCTTCTCTCTCCTCCTCTGAGTTGGAATGTACCTACGATATTTTCCCCCTTCAAAACATTTTTTGTATATAATTGTCAAAAATATTTTCTAAAATTTCAACGATGCTTACTTTAAGAACTATGTTAATTGCAGTTTTCCTCTCCATATAGTTTCTTAACTTAAATTTTTTTAATCCATTTGAAAATTAAGGCAAAAAATTGCGTAATCCCTTCTTCTATGACTGTTCGACCGCTCCGGGTGAAAGAATGCTGCTATAGATAGAGAGTTCTACTCTGCATCACCTATCGCCTATTTCGATCGTCAATTGATAGTTGGACACGACTGAACACAGCGGTTTTTATGATTTGAGCAACAGCAGCACAATCAAGTATTGCTATGAGATTTATATCTGACTTGACTCCATATACAAGTGATTCACGAGCTCTCAACAAAAAGATATCTAGGCCCAATAAATCAGCTGGACTTGGCCCTTAGCAGTAAAAATTGGTAGAAACAATATCTCATAAATTAAATATACGATCATTTGGACTCTAACAACAAGCTTGATGCTTATATTGAAGCATCTTTTTTAGTGTTGAAATGCAGAATGTGCGATAGAAACAGAAATGCAAATAAATGACAGGCAAGTAATATCAGGGATAAAAGGGGATAGCCAGTTGGGTTATCAAATGAGCGTAATGGAGCAGCATCGACACATTGCCGCGAAATGTCATATAGCGATGCTGAACGACATTTTAGGTCTTACAATTTTCCATCTTCTTGATATGCTTTACTTTACCATAAAGTTTGTTTCAATATTTTTAAGATAACCTGAAAATTATCAAATTATCTACTATAATCCATAAAAAGCTTTGTGTGATATCAATATTTTCAAATATTTTACGAGTTTCAAAAGTTCCTTTTCGTAAAAAATTGATACGTGAAGCAAAATTCAAATCAAAGATATTAAAACATTATAGAAACAGTGAAGAATTTAATTATGAACGGCATAAAAGCATTGGATAAATTGCTTCTGTTACATCGATGATTGAAAAATAATATTTCATGGAAAATTCGACTGGAATTAAGATATTTAAATAAGCTGCATATTTGTTACTTTAACCTTGTCAAAACTTATTAGTTTAGAAAATCTCTCATACTTTTTAGGTTTTATCTTGAAGCCGTCTAGCCTCTATTGCTTGTCGTCGCTAAATATTCTCCACAATTTAGTAGCTAGTCCAGCTCGTCGTAGAAAGAGTCTCAATCGCTCTCGGATATCTTCGATGTGAGGCGAGTTAATGGATTTATAAATTTTTGCTTTTTTTAACAAAATTTTTGATTTTTTGAAAAAAAAAATGTGTCATGCAATTTTTTAGTCATTCAACATCAAGCATGAGATGATATTCATATGATGATACTTCGAAAGTTGCAGCAAACTTATTGAATAAAAAATTTAACGCACCCATTTTCGCATTATCGCACCCTGAAATCATTTGCAGACTCAAGTATTTTACTTCAAGTTGTTCAATTAAACCAATCAAGTTAAAACTTAGTTACTAGTTTGAGCACAGCATGTTGCTTAGATTCATGGTAGCTCTTGTTGAATATTGATAACATTGGCTAATATTTGGAAAGACTATTATTTCAAAAACCACATAAACCTGCTGGCTATTATTTCAAAAAATAATCGTAGCCGTGCGTTTCCATATGAAGATAAAGTGTAATAATAATTTCTGTTGATGTCATTTTTGAAAAGGGTTACATTTAACATTGGTGTCTTTTTGTGTTGCTTAATTGTCGAATATCTTCTTTCTGTGCAATGTTTTGAAGATTAATCCAAAAAAATTAACATTTTGAATTTGCCAAGAAATTATCAGCTAAAAGGGTAAAAAATAAATCTTAAAGTTAAGCCTTGATTATTTATAGATATTCATGTCGAAATATTAAAAAAAAAAAAGAACGAAAATCGGGAAAAAAATAATGATGAAATATCTATTTTAGAAATAATTTTA